ATTTGGGGGACACTCAGTGCAAGAGAATCTGCAACAAGTGTTGGGCACTGGTATTTACTTTGAGATTTGTGCCTTTGCGCCCCCCTGGTCTGAATTCCCACTCAGCATCCATTGTCCTGCCCTCTCCTGCTGGACACAAAGTCTTAATCTTCCCCTTCTCCCCACTGTAACTAAACAATCTCTCAGAAGTCTTTCCAATAGACTGATCAAACTGTCAGCATAAGCCACTGCCTCAGCTCGCTGCTGTTGCTCCTTTGTCCCCTGCCCGTGTTTAACATCCCATTTACAACAGGGAGGAGGCTTAAACCACCCCAGCTCCTATAGCAGGGGCTGGGTGAGAGCTTAAACCACCCCAGCCCTGCAGCAGTGCATGGATGAGAGCTTAAACCACCCCAGCCCTGCAGCAGTGCATGGATGAGAGCTTAAACCACCCCAGCCCTGCAGCAGTGCATGGATGAGAGCTTAAACCACCCCAGCCCTGCAGCAGAGCCTGGGTGAGACAGCACAGCCCCAGCCGCAGCTCCACAGAGCAAACAGAAGGACAGAACCACCCTGGACATGTCCGGGAGGAAAATCCAGAGCTGAGGAATCCAATTCCATCAACACCACCCTGTCCTCCTGCCCCTGGATGTGTCTGCTGGATGTCAGGGGGTGGCTGCACTCCCCTGGAGATGCCACTGAGGCCGTGCCACATCCTGACTGCTCCCAGAGGTGACATTTGTGCCCAGGCTGTGGCTCACACCCTCAGACACCTCACTGGGCTCCTCTGGCAGCATCTCCTGGGCTTTGCTCAGTGCCAGGGGGTCATGATGGCTTTTTCTGGCTGGCAGCTCAGCTTGGAGCTGGTCACTCCTTCCCCAGCTCATCCTGCCTGGTGCTGGGGCAGAAGAGAGGTCCCTGCTCACCCCAGACCACCAGGACAGCATTCCTGATCCTCTGGCATCCCCCATTCCTCTTGTCCTTTCAACAGGAATTTCTGAGCCCCCCATGTCCCAAACACAATTCCAGTTCCAAGAGATGGACTCTGCAGCTCAGGGGTCCTCTGGGGGTTGGTTTTACATCTCTTCAGCCAAACTCAGCTGGTTTCCACCCAAAGGGCTTTGATGCAGCAAGGTCAGGGTAAAAATTCCCCCTCTCAGAAGGGCTCAGACCTGCAGCTCCATCTCTGCTCCCTTTGAGGACACTCAGTGTGAGAGAATCTGCAACAAATTCTTGGTTTGAACAGACAGGTGTCTGCTGAGGAAGGCAGGAGCCTCCTCTGAAATGGAAAATGTTAATGCTTTTCTCTGAATTACTACAATTTTGAAATTA